ATCCTCAAGGATGGGGTGGGGGAGTGGGCAGGCCAGGCTGATGCGGAGGCAGCACAGCGCTGTGCCTTGGGAGGGTTTCCTGTTGGGCTGGCACCCCCTCCACTGTCTGCTGCTGCCCTTGTTCTCTGAGTGACGAGTAGGGGCTCAGCCTGGAAATGCAGTCGATGCTGCTGCCCATCTGCCTTCGGAAATTTGTGAAAATACAAATCTCTTAATTCACTGGTGATTTCTGTCGACTAATTCACTAAGTACACCTGAGAACGTAAGAGTATCCAGAAATACATAGAAGAAATGTTTCTAACACTCTTTTTAAAAACCTCACTGGGTATGTAAATCAGACTGAAATCTAACCCCTGTAATCTGATGGAATTTATCCATGGCTGTATTCTGGGGAGGCTTCCATGGCCACATCCTTCTGTAAGCATAGGTTCAACAGGAGTTAGACTCTTCTCCTCAGCTGTACCATTTCCCAGGACTCGCTCAACACAAAGTTGGGTTTATAGATGGTGGGGAAAAAGTGGCTTATGAATGGTAACCACAACGTCAAGTTCTGACCTCATGTGAATATTTCACCCTTCCTGCAGTCCTGCAAGGCAAAAAGCTCCACCTCGTCAGCAAAGGAGCCAGTCCCTGATGGGGCACTGGCAGGTCTTCCTAGACATCCATCAGATCTGGAAGAGGAAGACTGCGGACTCATGCCACAAATGAAGCTGGCTTCCCGCCTCCTTATGCCTTGTTTGTCATTTTCCCCGCCTAATACACTAAGGACTTGCACTCAGCGTCCTTGCAGCTCCGTGTGTTCAGACAGCACGGGCCATGTGGTGGGGTGGACACTGGCATAGTCAGTTAGGTGTTGGGGCCCAAATGGAGACTCAGGACTCTTGACCTGGACACTGACCGCGGGAGCATACTGTGCTGCTCATCCAACAATGACTGTCAGTTTGAGGCTTGTTCATTTGCATGCACTACTCTGGGGCCTTCGACTGGGATCCTTTTTAAAAAATAAAACAACAGATATTCGTGGTTGGGTGTGTGCACGTGCATTTATAAGCGCCTCACCAGAGAGAGAGAGAGCCTGGGCCCTCTCTCACTGCTCTGACGTAGACCTCCAGGCAAAGTCAAGGGCACTGGGCTCTCAAAAGCGCAAGTCCGGCTTGCTGCCATCGCATTGGTTCTGACACATGGCAGCCCTGTGTGCGACAGTCGAACTGCTCCCTGGGGTTTTCGTGCCCGTCAGCTTAGTGAACGCAAATCTCCAGACCTTCCTTCCCTGGTGCCACTCGGTGAGTTTGAACCACCAGCCTTTAGGTTAATCAAGCTTAAACCTTTGTACCACTTGGGGGACCTCTGGGGCTCTGAGCAGGGGAGAAATGTGGGCTTCAGTTCCACCTTCCCCCTCAGTTATTGCTGTAGGACGAGTGGAATGTGCTGCCTTTCTACCCTTACTAATGAGTCCTGCAAGCAAGCCTGTGAGTTGATGACTTAGGCACTCGGATGAAGAGCTCTTTAAACGTGGCCGATTGACGTGCACACATGCAGGCAGCAGCCCGTCCATGAAACACTAGGCTACCCGAGTCATGTCTCAAGTATCAAGGAGGCTTTTGATTCAGTAGGAATATTCAAACACTGTTGACACAAAAGAGCGGGCAGAATACAACAGGGGAAATTGGAGACTGCTGGATGGATTTTGATATATTACCTGGGCCTTTGAAATAGGCCTGAGGACCTCTGTAGATGACTAAGTGTGAGGCTCTTTCACGCTCACTGTGGACCAGACAGAATGCTAAGTATTATGTCTCTCCCAACAACTCCAGTTTACAAATGAGAACGTGTGTGGTGAGGCCCACTGCTCACGATTACCCCACAGGTCTGCTTCAAAGCCCTACCCTGCCTTCTATGTGGGCACTCGTGTTGCTAGCATGAGATGGGATGTCTCATTCATCCTGGTGCCTTCTGGAGGCTTCACAAGCCAAAGCTCTTCTGCCTAAAACCGATCAGAACAAACTGCCTTGAGCTCATGTGACTCCTGCCTGCTCCACAGGGCAGAGCACAACTAATCATGGGTTCGATAGGCACAATTGTACGGGTGAGATATATATATATTAAAGTCATAAAGAGCATGAGAGATAGAAGAGAGGGTCAAATAAGTCGGACACATTTCATGGTAGCATGCTCACCTCCTGGATGGCCATGATCTTACCGGCCAGGTCTGCGTATAGCGTGGGCGGAGGCAAGGTGGGGTAGAGACCCAGCAGCCAGCTGGAGAACTGGGAGGAGGTTTGAGGACCATTGCCAACCAAGGGTTATCTCTACTTAGTTGGGGGGGGGGAGCATGATTACAGGTAACCACACGTCACAGGAAGGGGCAGTACAATAGGCATACAAACAATAGGAGGAGGATATACAATGGACATAGATGTAACAGGAAGAGGATGAGCTAGGAGTGTACACATGATAGGAAGGGGTGGAACTAGAGGTATACATGTGACAAGGTCAGACCCTAAATTTATAATGGTGGCCTACCCTTGGCCACTGTTGAGTGGGCTTGACCTCTCTGGGGTCTCCTACAAGGAAACAGTCAAGTACTATCCTTATCAGAAGGGAGTGGGCCCTACCTGTGGGATAAACAGTGGTGACTGCTTGCTCTAGATGGCTGATAACCCTTAGGGAGAATAACCCCGATCTACTTCTGATGACCTCCAAGTGTATAGTCATTCGCAAGCAGCCAAGTTTGGCATATATTTGGGGGAGACAACTTGGGAGAAATCCTTCTGTTTCCCATAAGGCTCTACCTCATCAGTGGAGCAGAAAGCCTCCTCTTCTCCCCATGGAGTGGCTGTTGGCTTTAAACCCGCCCAACTCGCCGCAACCCACCAGTAAATGGAACACAAGCCAGACAGAATCCAGAGGCACAGTTGCGGGACTGCGGCCTGGCCGCTCAAGACCACAGCCCGGCTTGTGTTACATCGAGTAGCAGCCGCTGGGAGAGAGAAAGCCCAGAGCAAAACCTCTGGCCTTTTCAGGGGCCCTGTTGGGAAATGTGGTCAACAATACTGGTCGACCCCATTGGCTGAATCAAATTCACCTGGCTTAGATGGGCCAATCCAGGTGTAATGCCCACCTAGGTGTACCACCCCTTCCTGGCCAGAAGCTTAACCTGTGAGCATGTGCAATGATGCCCCAGTCCCTATGCTAGCTACCTGAGAAACCTTCCTGCCTGGTGTTGAGGGTGAAGAACTGAGAAATATCCCGAGGGGTCTGCTAGGAGGAGGAGAAAAAATGTTTCTTGTCCATGCTTAGGTTCCAACTCATGGTGACCTTATATTTAACAGTATGTAGGCTACGTTTTCTAGAGAAACAAAGCCAGGACACATTTATATAACCAATAACTTTATATGAAGAAAAATTTATACCAAGCAAGCAGCCCAGCCCAGTCTAATGCAAGTTCATAGGTCAGAACCTAGCTGAAGCCCCATTCTGATTCACACCGCTGCGGGCCTATGAAGCAGGAAAGGGAACTGGGAAGCTCACTGGCTAGTGGGGTGCGGAGCTGTGGGGATCCAAGACCAGCAGAAACTTAGCAGGTTTCCCACAGCGAGAGCTCCCGAGGTCAAAAGACCACATGAGCCATGCCCCAGAGCCAGACAGAATCCCAGCAAGCAGGAAGGCAAAGGGGCAAGAGAGAGTTCTCCAGGAGCATCGATGGTGGATCCAAGTAAGATAAGATCATTGACAACTCCCATCTTTTCTCTGTTTATCATGATCTGGTTCAGTTGTGAGGATTTCTGTTTTCCTTACACTAAGTTGTAATTCACATTGGCAGCTACAATGCCTGATCTGCATCAGCACGTGCTTCAAGTCCTCCTCGCTCAGCAAGCAAGGTGGTGTCACTGCATATCATGGTCAATCATAAGAAGACCTATCACATGAGACCACTATTACAAAAATGTCAAGAACAGATTTTCACACTAATAGAGACATTCTTTGATGGTTACTCGGAGCTGGAGGGGAAAAGAGAGCAAAGCACTAAGGAGAGTGAACATATTTACGTCATTGGGAAGGCAAACCCGGACAACCTCAGGGACATCCCAATCATCAAAGTGACATCATTGCTTTAAAAGTTTAAGGTGTTTTTGCAGATTTGCCTAAAATAGGGGGAAGGGGACTAAGAAACACAAGTCCTTGTTCAAAGATAAGATAGAATGCTTCCCCTCCCCCTATCTAGGGAAACCCAAAGTAAAGAGGGAACACAACCAGGATCCTAGAGCAATGTGAAGGCTTTTGCACATACACCTCCAGTAAACATTACACAAGTCCAATTCCTTACCAGATTCACATAAAGCCTCACACTAGAGGGCTATTTGCCTTGATTTCTGTTGTCTGAGAGAAGTGATATTGTCTGGCCTTCAAAACTGCTGGATGTGGATTCTGCCTCTGGCGCATCATCTGACCTGTTTCGTTGGACTTGAGGCAAGAATATTGCTCGCTGATCCTTGGCATCCTCAGCAGTCTGCCACCTTACCTGGTGCCCTTGCATTCATTTGCCTCTGTAGCCACGCAGCTTGCTATCTGATTTGCTTAACTTGGGTCAATCAGCCCTTGCAGGAGAAGTCGCCAGCTTGATATCTGATCCATGGACTTGAAACGTGTCAGGCCCTACAACCATGTGAGCTATTTCCTTGTGAGAAATCTCTCTATATATACATTAAAAAACAAAAACAAACCACATGCATACTAAATGGAATGATAAAGAGTCCGATGAGTCAAAACAAGGATCAGAACCAGGCTCAAATGTTGGTGTAGATGTTAGAATTATTCATTAGGATTTTTAAAATGACTCTGAACTTAATACATTGAGGACTTTGATGGAAAAAGTAAACAATGTGTAAAAAAAAGGTGGACAAGGTAAACAGATATGGACACTCCAAGAGAGAATCTAAAGGAAATGGTAGAAATCAGAAACTCTGTAACAAATGAAGAAATGCTATCTTAGTTCCTTAGTATTACTGTAACAGAAATACCAAAAGGGGGTGACTGTAGGACAGAAATTTATATTTCACAGTTTACGAGACTAGAAGCTTGCATTCGGGGCACATGCTTTAGCAGAAGGCTTTCTCTCTGTTGGTCCTTGTGGGAAGATCTTTTTCTCGTTAGCATCTGTTCCTTGGTTCCTTGACAATCATATCTTCTCCATCTGTTCTTGCTTCTTTCATATCTCCAAGGTATTTGGCTTAAAATACACCCTACACTGATTATGACATCATTAACATAACCAAGAGAACCCTATTCCCCCATGAGTGTGTCCACAGGTATAACTCATTGATGCCAAGTCAATTCTGACTCTGTCACCCCCTAGGATAGACTAGAACTGTTCTGTAGGGTTTCTGAGGCTGTGTATCCACGCAGAAGTAGACTGCCTCATCTTTCTACTGTCGAGTGTCAGGTGAGTTGGAACTACCGTCTCTTTGGTTATCAACTCAATGCTTAATCCATTGTGCCACCAATGATCTTTCTCTAAAGGTACAGAAGTTTGGATTTACAACACATTTTGGGGGGAACACAATTCAATCCATAACAAATGCCTTTGATGGGCTCATTAGTTAACTGGTTAAGACTGAGGGAAAAATTACTAGTGTGGAGATATATCAATCGAAACTTTCCTACTGAAACGCAAGGGGAAAAAAATGAGAGGGGAAACAACATTCAAGCATCGTGGGATAATTTAAATAGATGTAACACGTATAATGGGAATACCAAAAGGAGAAGTAAAAATAACAACGACAAGAAGACATTTGAAAAACTTTACAAGACCCATAACCACAAATCAAACCATAATGACCATACTACAAATCTATGAAACTAAGAGACATCAAGCAAGATACAAACCAACAAAAAATGTAGGATGAGTATTTCATATTCAAACTGTGTACGTCAAGGAGGAAGTACTGGAAAAAGCCAGAGGAAAGAATGCACCTTAAAGATAGAACAGGGATAAGACTTAATGCAGATTTCTCTTCAGATGTCAGGTGAGCAACGAGAGAATGAAGTATCTAAAGTGTTGAAAGAAAAAGCTCCGTTCACCTAGAATTATGTATAGTGAAATTGTCCTTCAAATGGAAGTAGTAAAAACTTCAAAGAGAGTACTTAAGAGATGCAGAGCTAAGCGGCTGAACTAAGGGGTAGGTCCCAAATTAGTGTTTTTCTTTGGAAATCAATTTATTTCTGGTATCGAAATTTGTAGCCCAAATCCTGGAGAAATTGCGAGACAAATGACTTAACTGAGATTGAACTCAGGTCTCCTAGTTTATTTTCTACTGTCTTTTGTCTGGTGGAGCCTGTTTTAAGGTAATTTCTGTGTGTGTGTGTGTGTGTGTGTGTGTGTGTGTGTGTACACGTGTACAGTGGAGGTTAAGGTGGCTGGGCTGGGGAAGGTAGGGAGGACTAATATGTTCCAGGAAAAGGCAGTTACATAGACACCAGGTTACCAACGGAAAGATCAGTGGGCCGAACTCACTATCTTTGCAGTCGGGAGGCCACTGGGGTCAAGGTTCTTCTCTGTCCGTGGGGTCAGCGTCCACTCGGTGGCAGTGGGTTAGGTCTTTCTGGTGGGGCGTTGTTGGAGCAGGAACCGACAGCACCGCGATGCGAAGCCTTGCGTCGAGCAAGGCTTCCCCACGTCTACCAGCCCCGAGGGAGCCCTGCGCGTTGGTCGGCAGTTCAAAACGGGTCTTTCTACACCGGTCAAGCGTTAGTCTCGGAACCTCACAGGGCCGTTCGACCCTGCCCTACAGAGTCGCTGTGAGTCGGCGTGGACTTGATGGCGGTGAGTTTGTTTGGGGTTAGGTGTCCTTGTGGCGTACTGGGTGAAGCCTTGCTCGGCTAACCGCCAAGTCAGCAATGTGAACTCCTCAGCAGCTCCGGGGAGAAAGACAGCTCGGAGACCCACCGCTTCGCCGAGAGGCCGAGTCTACTCTCACAGCAGGGAGCTTGGTTTGATTTCGGCTCACGCGAGACTACAAGTCCCAGGTGGCTCCGCGGCGCCCGCGCTGCTTGCTGGGAGCTGCCCCGAGACGTCTCGCGAGAAGCAAGAGCCCGGCGGGAGGAAGTGTGTGAACCCGCCCGCGGCGGTGGTGGCCCGCTCTCTGCTTGTTCCTCTGCACCCGTTGCCCGGCCCGCCGCCGGCGCCACCACCGCTACCATGGCCATGAAAGGCCGCTTCCCCATCCGCCGCACCCTGCAGTACCTGGGCCAGGGTGATGTCGTGTTCAAGGACTCGGTGAAGGTCATGACGGTGAATTACAACACGCACGGGGAGCTGGGTGAGGGCGCCAGGTCAGTCCAAGCCGACCCCGTAAACCGCAAAGTGAGCAGAGCGGTCACAAGCTGGTGACGCTGCCTCCAATTAGTGAGTCAAGGAGCTGCGTTAGGAGCCCGCTTAACCCTGGGGGTGCCCCTTGTATGTAGTTGGAGCTGTTCTCCCCATTTCACAGACGAGCAAACCGAGGAGCGGCTGCCGTCCGTCCCCACGGCGAGAGGAGGAGGGCCGCAGACCGCCTGAACGGAGGTCTTGGGTAGGGTTAGCAGCGGTCTTCCTTCCACCCAGACTTGCAGTAGTGTCTGTGGTGGAGGGTGGAAGGACGAGTCACCCTCTCCTCCTTCCCGCATGGAGGTGGATGAAGTTGGAGAGAGCCACCAGCTCACGAGCGGTGTCCAGCAGGCGCGTGGTGGAGCAGCTCAGCCGCAGGTCGCTTCCTCCAGGAGGCAGGAGCGGGTCTGGCCAGTTTTGACTTGGGACACCTCACAGAAACCAATGTACCTCTTTCTACCCATGGGCCTCTCCCAGTCTCGCTCTCAGTGCAGGGAGGGTCAGCCCTTGCTTCTGTAGGGGAGGTCCCTTGGGCTCTCCACAGTGAATTCCATGTGTCCAGACCCACCCCGCTGCCATCCAGCCTGTTTCAAACCCTATTGACTCAGACCTTATTGACAGTCTGAAACTGTACCTCTGTACTGGGACTACCAGCCTCATCTTCCCCAAGGAGCAGCTGGTAGATTTGTACTGCCAACCTTGTTGGCAATAGTAGCTCACATTAATTGATCTCTTACCATGTACTAGATACTCATTTTAGTTAATATATATATTAGGTACTTAATATATATATATATATTAATATGTATATATTAACCTCTTTAATTATATACTAATTTATTTAATCCCTCACTGCTTCATGAAGTCAATACTGTCATCAGCTTTGCTTTACAGATGCACAGACACTGAGGCCCAGAGGCGGGCCTGGCTGGGGCCTGGCAGCTGGGAAGTGGCAGAGCTGAGCGGACTAGCCATACCTGCAGGCTCTAAGACTGCTTTGATCTCATGCCCTATCCCACCTTTCTCTTGGCCCCAGCAGGGCATAAACGGCACATTTAAAACAGGGCCGCACTTAGTTCAGGAGCAGCTTATGGTGGTGTGAGCCAAGATGAGGCAGAGAACCCACAAGGACAAGGAAAGGAGACCGCAGGTCTAGGCCTGAGGGCGTGAGCAGAGCAGGCTGGTTGTGGGTACCTGAAGGCTGGAGCTGCAGAGGATGGGCCCCACCAGGAGAGGAAGTACCCAGGTCTCATGCTGGCCTGTGCTCCTTGTGGCCAGACCTCCCCCACAGCCAGATGGCAAGGAATCCCTGTGTGTTGTTACACCAGGACACAGAGCAGGTGGAAAGGAGACCGGGAGGGGCAGCTCGAAGGATCCAGACATGGTTGTATCATAACTTATTTAATCTGCTCCCAACTGATGAGCATTTAAGCCATTTTTATCCCTTTGCTGTTAATTATGCTGTAATGAAGCCTCGCATGTGACTTTGCATTCAAGGGGGAGCATCTCTGAAACCAGAGGGACATATACTGTATGATCCCACTTACCTGAAATAGTCAAATACAGAAACCGGAGTTTATCCACAGTGATGGGAAGGGGCCAAGAGGGGTGGGAAGTGGGCGTGATGGGGCAGAGGGCGGGGGTGGATGCTCAGTGAAGTCACTGAATCGCACTCATAAACATGGGTTAGATGCCACCGAGTTGGCCCGAGCCCATAGCACCCCGTGCACAGCAGACTGAAACACTGCCCTCTGCGCCAGCCTCCCCTCTGCTGAGGTTGGAGCCCATTGTTGCAGCCACTGTGTCACTTTATCTAGTTAAGTGTCTTCCTCTTTTTTTACTGACCCCGACACAGTAAAACAAAGAGCTGTGCTTTGAATTTTTAGTAGTTCAAAGTGACCTCCAAGGGGATTAAATGAATTTATGTTCTTAAGGAAACGTTTCCCTTCTATAAACTTCTATGTTCTGTAAAAGTCTTTAGCAAGTTAATCGGTGAAAGGGTCTATAAACTGCCTCACATTGGCTTTTGTGCTTTGCCGTGGTGGCTAAGTTGTATTAATCATGACTTGGTGGTGTACTGGTCACGAGTTGGGCTGCACACCACACAGTGAACAGTTCAAAGCCACCAGCTGCTCCAAAGGAGAAAGGTGAGGTTTTCTGCTCTTGTAAAGAGCCACCGTTTCAGAAATGCACAGGGGCAGTCCTGCCCTGTCTGATGGGGCCGCCGCTATATTAAGGAAACCAGCTCTTTGTTTTATGCCCGGTGAACATTTCACTTTGGGTTTGGTTGTGGTAAATTTTGTGACTGAAACGTTTATGCAGATTAATTTCTGTTAAGATTAAAGAGTTCTCCCATGCCTAAATTGTAACAATGAAAAAAAAATTGCCAATACCAAGGGCTCAAGTAGAAAGCAAATGTTTTGAGAATGATGATGGCAACACATGTTCAAATGTGCTTGACATCATGGATGGATGGATTGTGATAAGAGTTATACGAGTCCCCAATAAAATGATTTTTAAAAATTGTAAAAATGTCCTGTGTGTTTATTTTCATTTTCATGCTCACGTTTCTTGAGTTGAGGTAGAACCGAGAGATGTTGAAGGCCTTACCTGTGAGTGTGCAGCTAGATGGCCACGCGAGCACCCCAGTTACGGCCCAGGTGTCACTTGAGTTTCAGGGTGGTGTCCAGGGCGGTGGGGAGAATGCAGACTACCTTTCCCTCTAGGGACTAACCAGGAGTCCGTGTGTTGTTCAGTGGATTTCTTAGAGTTCTTCTCTAGCTTTTTAGGGTTCAAGGGTCCCTGAGAATTTGATGAAAGTCTTGGGTTTCTCGCATGTACAGAGTTTTAGGTGAAAATGACTTTCTCACAAGTGTCATTTCTTCCTTTTGCAGGAGATTTGTGTTTTTCAACATACCTCAGATCCAGTATAAGAACCCCTGGGTGCAGATCATGATGTTTAAGAACATGACCCCGTCACCATTCCTCCGCTTCTACTTAGGTGAGTGGGCCGGCCTCGAGTCCATGTCCAGGGCCTGTTGCAGACCCTGGAGACAGGCCTGTAAGGCAGGGGCCTTGCCTCCCTGCCACCCCTCCTGCAGGCGGGCAGGTGTGTACACTGCTTCCCTTCGTGCCCATCCACCCCCCTTGGCTTCCCTAGCCCACGCTGGCGAGACGGCTAAGACGTCTTCATCCCTCGCTGCGTTCTGTCTTCCCTCTGCTTCACCCTGCACGTGCTAGCATTAGCTTCGGATGAGGATGCCCTTTTTGCCTCTCCTGGCTTCTTCCATATTTTCCTAATCCTTGCAGATGCAGCTCAGGCAGCCTTCCTGGAACCCTTGGATTGGCCGGCCCTGGGCTCCCCAAGAACCCGTTGTAGTGCTGCCCAGTCTGTGTCCTCATTGGACAGTGCACCCGTGGTGCCATCGGGCCTGTGCGAGGCCCTTCTCCGTCTAATTGGGCTCAGTGCGAGCTCAACGGGAGGCAGGGTGTCGGCCCTGTTCTCTGTGAAGGAATCTTGTTCCCATTCCTTTTTTTTCTCAGAGGGAGGCCTGTTTTGAGAACCAAATGACATTTAGGCTGGGAAATGTTTCAGGGAACAAAATGATGTGTTCTCGTCCATTCAGCAAATATTTCTCAGGTGTCTGTGAAGGAGGTGTCAGAAAGGTCACGGGAAAATTCCCCTATCTTTTGATTCCATTTTGCCACGAACCTTTTGGAGCCCCTTTGTACTAGAAACAGAGCCCGTGTGTTCTAGGTGCTTCCTGTGTCAAGGGAGCAAACAAAGACTTGAAATTGTCTTTCAGCAAGGGCACACAACCGAAGACGGAGCGAGGATGCAGACGTGAAGAGAACGGGGTGGCGTGCCCTTTGCGTGTGTGTTGTGCCTGTTTGTTTTTAATTAACTTACTTAGCTCACAGACCTTAGGTGTACTTGATGAGTTCTGACTATTGTGTACACCTGTGTAGCCACTTTTCCAAAGAAGAGGCTAGACGTTTCTCTCCCTCTAGAACATCCTGTATATTACTTTCTAGTTAATTCCCCGTCCACCAAGGGCAACCACTATTACTGTGCTCATCATAGATGAATTTTATTGGTTTTACAGCTTGAGATAGACTCTCAGTGTGAACTCTTCTATCTGGCTTCTTGTACTCATCATCATGGTGTTAAGATTCATCGATGTAGTTGATTCTTTTATTGTATTGTATGAATACATTATTTTTCATTTAATCCATATTCACTCGTTGGTAAGTAGTTGGGTATCTGTTAGCTGTAAGGGCAAAGTTAAAACTATGAGGTCTCTGGGTGGTAATACCTTGAAAGATGGAGGAGAAAGGAAGACGAGAAGGCAAGTCTCATCCTCAGACACCATGAAGGTCCGACTCTGTAAGGAAAGAGCAGGAATGAATTTCACTCAGGCGGTGCCTATGTCACAGCGCAGGTCAAAGAAAGTCTTGGAAGCTTTGTGATCCGAATCAACGTGACTCCCGTCTCCCAACGGTGGAGCTCGACCCCGTCCCCAGCCCCCACATCTCAAGTCATTTCTGACACTAGGCACCACACAGTCCTTTGTCTCTGACCATAGGCTCTCCCAATTAGGACAGGTCTTAGAGGTCAAAAGGCAACCAACCTGTACTCTGCCGGCGAGGGGCTCCCCGTGACACCTGACACTTGATAGCTGGTGGCGGATGCAATGCAGTTTTCTCGCCATCCTTTCAGGATGCATTCCATTACTGGGACCTGCAGGAGCCCCCAAGAACTTTGGGGACAGCAATTCATTGGAACAACTCATAGAACTCACAGAAAGTACTAACTTTAAGATTCTAGGTTTGCTATAGCAGGATGCAAATCAGGGTGGTTGTAAGGAAGAGATTCCTGTGTGAAGTCTGGTAGTGTTCCCAATACAGAGCTTCCCGGTTACCTCCCCTTCACCAACCAGGAAGCTCCCAGTTGACATATGTCTACCAGGTCTGCTTTTCCTTGTCTAACCAGCTCCTATTTACTGGCATAAACTCTCAGACGTGACCTCGAGGTTTCAGATCCGGGTGCCTCATGGCTATTTAAAGGAGCCAAGGAAAAGGTCAGAATTGCTTTCCATGAACATACCACAGCCCAGCAGGAAGCCCCAGCACTGCCTGGAGCAGAAACAGCCAGGGCCTGGACCCGAGGCCACGCGTGAGAGCTGCATGTCTCCGTGAGCTGAGCAGCAGCTGGGGGGGGGCAGGCATCGTTCTCTCTGTCTAGGGGTGAGCTGGCTGTCGTCATGTCTCCCCAGTATAAGAGTTCACTCTCAGATGTGTGTGTGTTGAGACTTTGCACACACTCTGGCTTGTAGTGTCTTCTAAAGTATGAAAGCTTTGAATTTTCATTCAGTTTTATGATTGATAATTGACAAACTCATAAATGAAAGTTGATTTTAAGTATTTAAAAGTTTTATCGGCATATAATTCACATATCAAACAATGCGATAGATTGTTCATCTTTAAGAGTTGTATTTTTTTTTTTAATATAAGCCTAAGTAAGATCATGAAGATTTCCCCCATGTTTGCTTCTAAAAGTTTCATAGTTTCAGCTCTTAACGTGTTGGACTCTGAACCATTTAACTTTCATATATTCTGAGGTAAAAGTGTCAATTCATTGATTTGCATGAGGAGATCTATTTGTCCCAGCACCGTTGGTGAAAAAGCTGTCTTTCCCCCGTGCCTTGGTCCTATGACAAAACTCCTCTGATCCCCTTGTTAACGTCTCCTGGGATTTTGATAAGCAGAGATCTGTAGATCTCTCTGGGCAGAATTGCCATGTTAACACTATTACACTTTAGAGGCTTACAGGGATTTCAGTTACAGCGTGTACTTTTGCATTTATCTGAAGTTTCTGTTTATGTCTACAGAAATGGAAAAATCAGGAGCAGTGTATGTATGGGCTATGTCATCAAATATATTTTGTTGTTAAAATGTTTCTGTCACTAAGAGTAGATCCCACATCCCAGCCTTTTGAAGCCGAGTGTGCTGCCCGGCCTCAGCTCTCCTGCTCACCTGAGCAATTTGTTTGCAGATACTGGGGAGCAGGTCCTGGTGGACATGGAGACCAAGAGCAATAAGGAGATCATTGCGCACATCAGAACCATCCTGGGGAAGAATGAGTGAGCTGCTGGGGCTGGCCTGGAGGGCGGCAAATGTCTCAGCCCAGAGTGTTGGAGGGAGCAAGAAGGGGTGGGTTGGGAGGGACTGAGAGCCAGAGGGGGCACTGAGGCACAGAGTGTGGGCTGCACAGTTCTCGCACATGTAGCTTCAGGTCGTTGAACCTCTGCAAGCTTTAGCCCCTTAGAAATACAGCCCAGACACTTTCTCACGATAATGTTGTGTGTCTGTCCTTGGGCCTCCCTGCTTGGAGGTAACAGATGTCTAACTCCTGGGCCCCTGAGGCATGTCCATTTTCTTTTAGGGGTGAAAAGAGACAGGAGGAAAGCCAAGAATTCTTGAGAGGCCCCCACAAAGCATTTGAAAGGCCACACAGCTCCTTACCTGTGCCTCCCAGCCAGACCCCACCCCTACAGGCTGCCTCTCCTGCTGTGATGTGCTTGGTCCTGTGATTCTGGATGGGACTCGGCATTTGGCATCCACTCCCCAAGTGACCATTCCCTCAGACCTGCTATAGAGGCTGCCCTGCCAGCCAGTGGGCTTGGAGAGGAAGTGCAGTTAGAAGGCGAGATCCTGCCTTGGGGGACTGGTGGTGGGGTGGTCACTGAGCTGAGCCACGCCTGCTCATTTGTTGCTCAGGGTGATGCTCAGCTTCGTTTGCTGTCTGCTCATTTGGCAGGGAAACCCTCAAGAAAGAGGAGCAGGAGAAAAAGCAGCTCTCTCACCCAGCCCACTTTGGACCCCGGAAGTACTGCCTGCGGGAGTGCATCTGTGAAGTGGAGGGGCAGGTGCCCTGCCCAGCCTTGGTGCCATTACCTAAGGAGATGAGGGGGAAGTACAAAGGAGCTTTTAAAGCTAGTGCCCAGGACTGAGGCTTGGCCTATGGGACTGAGGGGGTTGGGCCTGACCATATGGCCACAGGGAAGTCCCAGATCCTATCTGTCTCTGGAAACTGGACATTTGTCAACGACAAAAAGGATCTTTTGTATACCTGTGAAAAAAGATTTTGGAGAGGGGGAGAAGGAGCTGTAGCTGAGTTGCTGAATGAATACCCTTGTCCTGTTGTACCAATAAAATGTTTTGTCCCCCCCCCCCCAGCAGTGGGGTGTGTTGTCTGAGAGCCTAAAAGACACAGGAGGAGGCATGTCGTCTGCATGAGGGACAGGGCTTGGGAGGGAGGCTGTATGGCCAGCTTATGGACACCTGTCTCATTCCTTCTACTCTTTTGATCTCATATCTTGTCCAGACCCTGCTCTGGAGAACTGGGGGTTGAGATTGGCCAGAATTCTGCCTGTGGCTGGCAGTGTGGATATGTTTCCAAACAGACCGTTTGGCAGGGCTTTAGAAATCCAAAGGCAGCTCTCAACATCTAAAGTGAAACTGTGCAGCTTGTTCCTGTAGCTGCCTGCCTGTGGGTGCCGGGGAATGAGAGTTTGCGGTGCAGACAGACCAGCGTCACTTGGGGACATGCTAGTCGGCAAGTCAGTCATCCCCAGCCACAACTGCCCTTGTCACTGCTCATTTGGTGGTTTTCCGACCACGAGGCAGGAACGAAGGTGCTGCCCTGAGAGGAGCCCTGAGTGCTGAATGGTGTCTGAAGGCTGTCTTGGTTCATTCAGCCCTTGGTCAGAGATCCAAGAAGACATGAGGCAGTTCTTTTCTCAAAAACTCAACTGTCACAATTGATGCTGACTCATAGTGACCCTATAGGACAGGGTTGAGCTGGCTCTGAGTAGTCCAAGACTTTTTTTTTCCCTCTTGAAGACTTAACTCTTTACAGGAGTAGAAAGCTCCCTTTTTCTCTCAAGGAGTTTCAAACCGCTGACTGTGCAGTTAGCAGCCTAATGCGTAACCACATTATCACTAGGACTCCTTTTCTCAGGATACTGTCACTTTAGGCAATTGTCAGTCTTCAGGACAGGAGCCAGTCTGAGCCCTCTAGGGTCACTGTAAGAACAGATTCAGAACAGTGTTTTCCAAAGTGGGCAGTACCACCCCAAGGGGATCTGGAACAATTC